TGTAAGAGAATTCCCAGGGGAGCCTTTTTGAGAGAAAGTTCATTGGATTTTTTAATTTTATTTTATTTTTTAAGAGACAGGGTTTCACCCTGTTGGTCAGGCTGGTCTCAAACTCCTGGGCTCAAGCAGTCCACCTGCCTTGCCTCTCAAAGTGCTGGGATTACAGGTATTAGCCACCACGCCAAGCCTCCAAAAATATTCAGAACAATGACAGAATCAATGAAACAAGTTAATAGCTCCCCAAGGGAAATACTTAGGAAGATAACTTTCATTTTAATATTTAAAATAAAATGTTTTTATTTTTTTATTTTTTATTATTTTTTTTGAGACGAGATCTTGCTCTGTCGCCAGGCCGGAGTGCAGTGACGCAACCTTGGCTCACTGCAACCTCCACCGCCTGGGTTCGAGCGATTCTTCCGCCTCAGCCTCCCGAATAGCTGGGACCACAGGCGCGCGCCACCACGACCGGCTAATTTATTTGTATTTTTAGTAGAGACGGGGTTTGACCATGTTGGCCAGAATGGTATTGGTCTCTTGACCTTGTAATCCGCCCGCCTCGGCCGCACAGAGTGCTGGGATTATAGGCGTGAGCCACGGCGCCTGGCCCAAAATGTTATTTTATTATTTTGTTTTGTTTTTCTTTTTCTTTCTTTTCTTGAGACAGAGTTTTACTCTTGTTGCCCAGGCTGGAGTACAATGGTGCAGTCTAGTCTCACAGCAACCTCCACCTCCCGGATTCAAGCTATTCTCCTGCCTCAGCCTCCTGAGTAGCTGGGATTACAGGCATGCACCACCACCTCTGGCTAATTTTGTATTTTTAGTAGAGATGGGGTTTCTCCATGTTGGTCAGGCTGATTGATCTCAAACTACCAACCTCAGGTGATCCATCTGCCTCAGCCTCCCAAAGTGCTGGGATTACAGGCATGAGCCCCCGTGCCTGGCCGCCTTTTTTTTTGTTTTTATTTTATTCATTTTTATAGACAGGGTCTATCTCTGTCACCCATGCTGGAGTGCAGTGAAGAGATCATAACTCACTGTAACCTAAAACTCCTGGGCTGAAGTGATCCTCCTGCCTCAGCCTTCCAAGTAGCTAGGACTACAAGTGTACACCACCATACCTGGCTGATTTTTAAACTTTTTTTTTGTAGAGACAGAGTCTTGCTATATTGCCCAGGCCTGGTATATATTTTTAAAGCTACTCTTACAGCTTTATAGATAAAACGTTTATATTTGCAGTCACTCTTCTTGGATAAAATCTCATAGCTAATGATGATTATATTTTAATTTCTTAGGATTATCTTATGGCATTATCTCTACAACAAGAACAGCAGAGCCAAGAGATCAACTGGGAACAAATCCCAGAAGGAATCAGTGATTTGGAACTAGCAAAGAAACTTCAAGAGGAAGAGGACAGACGGGCTTCTCAATACTATCAGGAACAGGAACAAGCAGCAGCAGCTGCTGCTGCTGCTTCTACACAGGCTCCGGTAAAAACTAGTGTTCTGAGTCTTAAATGTGATGATCATGGCTGGATGCCGTAACTCACACCTGTAATCCCAGCACTTTGGGAGGCCTAGGCGGGTGGACTGCTTGAGGCCAGGAGTTTGAGACCAGCCTGGCCAAAATGGCAAAACTCCATCTCTACTAAAAATACAAAAATTAGCTGGGAATGGTGGGGCACACCTATAATCCCAGCTTCTAAGGAGGCTGAGGCAGAAGAATCAGTTAAACCTGGGAGGCAGAGGGTGCAGTGAACTGAGATTGTGCCACTGCACCCCATCCCAGGTAGCAGAGCAAGACTCGAATGTCTC